TTCTTTGCTTGGTGGGATTGCCTATGGTTTTGCCTTAGCTTACTTGTCCTGCATTGACATTTTCTGCTGTTTCTGAATAAACCTATATTTTGCCGGTAAAACAATTTTTTAAGGTTAACACAGTGATAAATACCTGTTGGTTTATGTTCTTCGCTTGGTGTCTGAAATCGTCAGTGCCATTTTCTGGATAAGTAAATACTGAAGGAGACAAGAAAAAGCAGGTGCTATTTATGAATCCAGTCACCATGTTTTGGAATCATGCCTGGAAGATGTGGCTTTATGTATTCCCTGTTCCCTAGCTTCTACTTTCCTCCTCACTGCCTTTTCCTCATCTTAGTGACACAGCTTTCATGTCATCTTCCACGTGAGGCTTCCCTGCGCCCCCAGGTGGCATTCCGGACCACCTCCTCTGCATGCCCGCACCCTTGTCCATGCCTCCAGCGAGCATGCATCCTCCTGAATACTTGGCAATTGTGTTCACAAGTTGGCCTTATTTGGCAGGGCATTTCATTCATCTTTGAAACAATGTTATTCATCTGTTGAATGTATCAAATCATTTGTTAATGGAACAGCGAATGAGGGATGGCCTAATTGTATTTGAATGACCTTTTCTAAATACCAGATTCTTTTATCTATTTTCAATATCTTGATTCCAGTTTCTTGATATCTATATTCTATTTTGCACATTAAAGCTTTAGTTTTTTTTTTTAAGGTTTATTTATTTGAGAAGGGGGCGGAAAGGGCAGAGGAAGAAGAGGGAAAGAGAATCTCAAGCAGACTCTGCACTGAGTGCTGAGTGCAGTGCCCCATGTGGGGCTTGATCTCACCACCCTGATATCATTACCTGTGTCCAAATGGAATGGACTGAGTCACCCAGACGCCCCTAAAGCTTTAGTTTTAAACTTCAAAATATTTTCTGGATCGCTTATTGTCAATGCATTGGGACTATTATTCACAATAGAAAACAAATAGTGGTTTCTCATTTAGTTTGTTTTGAAATATGTAATTCTCTTCCTTTTGTATTTAAGCAGCCACTCTGTGGTCTTTAATAAAGAACAAAACTTCCCCAAATGGGCAGGAGTTTTCACTGTCCACATGCACAGCTGGGGGAGATCCCTGATGGGTACTGGGGGGCTCTGCCTTAGCTAGTTCGGTCGGCCACATTCACCTCAGTGACCAACGTGACAGCCTTATTCTCACCACATGTATCTGCCTCAAACAAAAATGTGGCAAGTGTTTCCAAGTTTGTACAATAGAGTTTTGGTGTATAACCTACCAGTTAGATGACTTGACATTTAAAAAGAACACATTGCTGCTTTCTTCTTCCCTTTGGTCTCCCTTCAGATTATAAGGAAATATCAGTAAAGGAGGAGAAACACACCACAGAAAAGTCTGTAACCTATTTCAGTTACTGCATTGACATCTCCACTGTCCTTAAAATGAACTCAATAACTGTGATGCAGAAAACATGCTTCAGAACAAAAGCCTCTGTAAACGTACTGATGCTCAGTAAACATCTATTCTCCACAGTTTATAGTTCCAGAGCCTGTGCATGAAATTCCATGATTCCTTGGAAGCCTAGGCATAAATATGCAGTCATTGGAGGAACTCTGGTTTGTAGGTAAGTGGAAAATGATCCTATGGGCCCTGTCTGCCTCAATATCTGGCTACTCACCTTACTAATTTGAACTGAATGGAGGCCAATGATACTCTTCTTTGGGATTATGTGATTCCCTAAGAGCTTGGTGTAAATATTTGATTGCATAAGTATATAAAACTGGATACTTCTAAAAGAATATTGAATATCTGCAGGAAAAACATAGAGAATGTTCCTAGAAAATTCTTGATTGGAGTTAAAAAGGGAGACTTCATAGGCTACATATCAGTTTGAACTGATTTTACAATTTTGCAATTTCACATTTTAAGCTTTTTATTGAATATCCATTAGCCATGTGGTTCAAAATATGTACCAGTTTTGTGAACTATGCCGAAAATTATTTGAAGTGACTCCAAATGTATTTTTAACTATATGACTGAAAGCAGACCACTGCGGGAAAAAAAAAAAAAAAAGATTTAAAAGCCCATTCCTATGGGCTATTTCTAAGACTTTGATTTGAGGGAAAAAGAGTAAAGAAAGGTAACTATTTTACTACAAATATATCATATACTCTTTCTGTTTGGTGCTTTAAATTTGTTTTATTAAAAATTATTAGGTTGCTGATTTCACCCAGGACAAGTACTCAGAGAATATATCCATTATGCAGACATATTTTCTAATGTTTTGGAAGCAAATGAATCTTTAGTTTCTGCCACATCCCCAAAGGACTTTCTTCTTTCTTTTTTCATATTCTTTTTCACTTTGTAGTCCTGTGAAGACCATGTCCACCACTTTGTTTTCTAATGAGACGGCTATCTGGTTTTTCTTCTTCAAGCTAATAATGTACAAGTTATGTTACTTGCTTATCTAATACAAACACAAATTTGCATCCCTGGAATAAATCTAACTTGGTAATTATGCATTACTTTTAAAAAATAATTATTGGGGGTGCCTGGGTGGCTCAGTAGGTTAGGTGTCTGCCTTTGGCTCAGGTCATGATCCCAGAGTTCCAGGATTGAGCCCCGAGTTGGGCTCCCCCCTCAGCGTGGCATCTGCTTCTCCCTCTGCTCCTCCCCCAGCTAGTGCTCTCTCTCTCTCTC